ATTTAACAATAACAAATAATTACTGCAATCAGTTAATCTGATTATCGTTTGAGTATCAGAGTGAAAATCAACTCTGGGATGCAAGCATATCCATATGACGAGCTCTAAATAGAACGAAACACACGGGTTGGTTTCCACTGCTACCTACCAAACATCTCTGCTTAAAAATGACTTCACTTATTTGAAATCCAACTCTAAAATTATCTAACTTATTATAAGTAATAACAATGTACCCACTGGTGACCAGCTTCAAGAAAGTTTTCCCAGAGGCTCAATGATAAACCATGATATATAGTGTAAACTAAGTCCAAGGTTAAGTAGTCAATCACTGGTAATAATAAATGAAATATATACAGTCCTAACTATTGGATTCATTAGCACTAGATTATTAATCTGCGTCTGTTTGTGATTCATCAACAATCGGAAATCACAAACTAACATGGGATCAAACCCAAGGTCTTTTGTCAAACATGGTACGTTACAATCATCACCTTCAAATCCAGTAGTCTTTATTTTCAATTAAACTTCCAAGATTATACGATTTCATTTTATCACATCAGTGAATATCTGTTGACTTGGTTAACTCTATAAATATATATATATATATATATATATATATATATATATATATATATACATTGATTCGTTTACACAGAAAGATTATTGTTTTGTCAAACCTGATTATGGTTACTATTCTTTGTTGTAATTATTTTGATTAAGATTGATCACTTGTCCATTTAATTGTCTTACAACAGAAATCCTATTACTTTGCCCCTTTTTCTTCTCAAAGTTTGACGTTTATGTTTTTTCAATCAGAATTCTTATTTCTTCTATGTTCTTCCATTGATTTTTATGTCTTATTAATTAATTGACAAGAGCTTTTCGATATTTCGAATACAATTAACTTCTATATTCTTATGTGTACGTATGTACGAAATGTCTATTTGACAAATGATAGGGAGTTAATAGTTGACTATTAATAATAATAATAATAATAATGTGTATTATTATTACTACAAATGTATGTAGGCTATTCAATATGAACTGTTCGATTATGCGCTTAGTTGTTTTCTCTATAACAAAGCTAATAAAAAGAATTATATGTCAGATAGCTTTGAATTTCTGAAGTCTATTGGCAAATGAACATGATTTGTAGTAATGTAAATTGAATGGCTAAAAGTAAGAGATAGAGAAATAGGAAAGGAGTACTTAAGAAAAAATCCATTACGACTTAACCTTTGTACAGTAATTAAAAGTTGACAATGTTAACGTTGAAATTATTTATTAACAGGTCAATCATAACCGGAATAGATCAATGGTAATATCTTAAACTATAGAGTCCTACAGAGAACACCAGTATCCCTGTGATTATAAGTACCTCTAGCTTAAGAGCACGAATTAGGACAAAACATAGGTCGAATAGTATTTCCTATCGACTACTTCCAAAAGACCAAATTAATGCTGAATATTTATACCAATCATTCATAGGGTAGTAAACAATGTCCAGTACTTTGATGATGATAAATTCCTATCAATCAAATTATTTTATCTCTATTAGGGTAAATGTATAAACATTTCAGTCGCATGGTGAAATCAGTGGAGTGATATTGGCTCAAATCCTACAGGAAATAGCAGTTCATTTAAGAGTTGAAATAAATCTTACTGCTTAATACCACTTAGCAGAAATATCAAATTCATCGATTATCAAAATCTTCACTAATAATTCATATATTAGACTGTGTTTTATTATCAAAACGAGTCTTTAATGATGATAGCGCATTTTAGAGTATTGGTTGGTTGCATTATTTTTACATAAAAATCTTTAAAATAAATTAATAGAACCTTCTAAAGTTAAATAGGTTTATGAAAAATAATTTTAATGATAAACATGATATAAAACTAGACAAAACATTAATAATATTAAATCAGTTAGTTATTTACTTAAAATTTGAAATTAATTCATAAAGTCAGCGTTAAAATAAATCTGACATCTGAATACGTTTAAGATGTAGAATCCTTCACATACCTGAGAAGCATCATCAATGAACAAGGAGGTTCAGATGCAGACGTAAAAGCGAGGATTGGCAAAGCAAGGACATCATTACTACAATTAAAGAACATGTGAAACTCAAAACAACTTTCAACCAATATCAAAGTCCGAATCTTCAATACGAATGTCAAGGCAGTTCTACTGTACGGAGCTGAAACTTGAAAAACTACTACAACCATCATCAAGAAGGTGCAAGTATGTATAAATAGCTGTCTACGCAAGATACTCAACATCCATTGGCCGGATACCATCAGCAACAGACTTCTGTGGGAGAGAACAAACCAGCTTCCAGCTGAAGAGGAGATTAGGAAAAGACGATGGAAATGGATAGGACATACATTACGCAAATCATCAAACTACATCACGGGGCAAGCCTTAACTTGGGATCCTGAAGGGAAGCGGGAAAGAGGAAGGTTAAAGAACACATTACGTCGAGAAATAGAATCAGATACCGGGTACCAGGCAGTTGTTAAAAGATTAAGTTTTAGGGAGTGAAATAGAAATTTATGGGTCCGATCCCCTGCAGTGAAGTCAGAGATGTACACTGCTGAGGAGTTCCATACTAGGGTGAAACGTCACCCAGTGCTTCCAGGCTTCCAGTGGTAGTCTACCTAGGATGATGTCATAATTTAAATTACGAAAGTTAATCTTACTGAAACCATATAATAATGATTCGTTTCAGTGCTCAAACTGTTTTTAAAAAAATTAAGATTTTTTGTTGTCACGGCAGCAAATGAAATGTATGTTGAAAACATGCTAGTCAAGTGTGAAAATATATAGACACCTAATTCTCACCTTACATTTGATCATTAAAATATTCAATGGGGCATGATCAAAATAAAGGAAAATTCCACTTCTTTTTTCGATAATGTTACTTCAAGTTTCTATGGAAATATCTAATGAATAAAAGTGTGATTATTAAGTTTAATGTTGGTTACCACTAGGTGTAATTCAGTCAACCATATTCCTAATGAAGTTTTGAAGAAAAAGATAGTTTGAAATAATCCTTACTATCTTCCTTTTCACAAAACCTACATCATATGATATGTGCTTTTTTATACATTCGAAATGATTAAAATTGGAAATTTGAATAATTGAATGCGTTGACGTAGTGGTTTTATGGTATCTTAAATGTCCTTGGTTCTATTTAGTGAAAGGTCATGAGTGTACTCTGTGAAGAAAGTTCCAAAATAAACGTTAAGTCCTTCATGTTCGTTTCAACTATGTTCCAGCTGACATCAGACTATAACAGTAATTATCTTCAAACTGATCTTTATGAACCATTCAATTAAATATTTAAAAATAGTGGTTGAGTTTCATTTTTTTAACTAACATGGTACATTTTTATCCTTCATACCATATCAGGTGTTATGGAACTTTGGATTTTGACTAACTGACTTCTTGACATTATTTTCATCTAGGAGATCCATCGGTCCTATCTAATTCAATGAATATTTAGTTATAAATGGGGATTTTTAATAAGTCAAAATGTACAAAGAAAGAATTATCTAAAAGTTGTGAATCAGATGTTTGGACCATTGTAACAAACTGGTAGATACCTGCCAGTTAATAATTCTGAAAATTTACTCTCCATTGACACACTACTTATGAATTGGCACCTGATGAAACTGTGATACACAGTATTTATGCCATTTAATTCGAAGTACTTCATCTGAACAATGACTGCACTCAGGCGAACATTAGGAGATCCCTTTCACAACTCGAGAAGCATTCCTCAAACAAGCCTAAATTTATAAATGCGATACCCTAACTACTTTCAGCCACCTAGTAGTCCAACGTAGTGCAGGTGATATCGAGTTGATCAACTTTGTACTAAAAACTGGAACTTGATCAACAGAATCCTGTTAGAAATAAAGTACCAGACAGACATACGATTAGCTACTAATCAATGATCAATCAACTATACCGTACAATGATGTTTAATGCTCTATAAAAAATACAAAATCACACGAGAACTGTGGTCTTTCTTCTCTATTGTTATCTTCTAAATATGTAGTTGATGATAAGTGAAATATTTTCAAGAATTTCCGTTTACGATCCTTGAGTTTATGTTGAAAATCGTCAACCATATAAGCTGAAGTAGGTGTTCTTTTAACTTCCATCATATATTATAATCATAGAAAGTTAGACTAGAAAATAAATATCACTTAGCCCTGACGTTAATGTTCAAACTCGTTACCATCCCGTAAGAAATTTATGTCTGAGCATTTTTTCATATAACTTGGAAAAACGTTTGAACTAATGAAGTGATTTTGAAAGACATCTTTGAGTTATCAGGTATATATTTAAAATAATTCCGTAAAACAATCCGTTGTTTTCTGCCTATCCACTCATAAATTGATAGTGAAGAGTTTAAGTTTTCAATGTCAACCACTTTACCACTTATCCCCTGTCTTATCTTTTCTAGACTATAACAGGAAATATCCCCTTGAATTAATACAATTCAAGAGTAAGTGATTAATTCACTTCATTGAATCAGTGTGACAACTAGATATTAAATTGTCTGCCCCCTGTAGAAACAAATACATTAAGCCATATGTCATGACCTTGCATACTTGAGACACGTTCACACCCGCCCCCTTGAAGATTAGTTAAAGCGTATGATATTCAGTTTGTTGTATGATAGCCCACCCACTCATTTATTGCCATACGTGCCATGCTTCACATACGGACGCACCAATCTCGTCGAATGACATATGAGCTGCCGCATGTGTCATGTGACAGCTGTAGGGTGCCAATCGGAGTAAGGCAGGTTTGATAGACAGGGTGACAGCAATGTATATCTCAACCCTAGGCAGTGAGCGCGAAAACACACATATGCGGACAAGTTTAATCTCCCCCACAAATGTTTCATACATGTGAGATAAACAGTGGTGCGTCAAACTATTATTTGCTCAATACTAGTGGATTATTATATCTCACCCCCTAACTTTATCATATGTGTAGCTTCTGACGCTATTTGACACGTCGTCAGAATGCCACTATCAAAGAAACATGAAATTTGTAGTCCATCCATTTTTATATTCATTGATTTGGAAAACGGATGAAATGCGAACATATTAAAAATTCACAAATTTCCTGATTATTTATTTATTATCTAATAAAAAACCGTACAATTGTGTCACCGTAGATTAATAGAACAATTCTAATTCCTAGGTGAAAAAAAATCTATACAGAGAAAAAATAACAGCAACAGAAATAAATATGGGTCTTCTCCCATTACTTGATGCATCCGATGTACTAGTCCTACATTGTCCATTATGTTATTTCCACACACATTGGTTAAATCATCTAGAAATTCACTTCAATCATGAACATTCAAATGAAAATGTGGATTTTATGTTATATCAATGCTCCAAGTGTCGAAAAATTGCTTCATGTAAAACATTCCTCTATGAACATATTGATATTTGTCACAAAAGATCTAGTAAGTCTACCATCCAATCGTCTAGAACTCAGTCACCAAATAATACACTATCAGATCATGAAAGTTTTAATATTCAACAGCAAAATTCACAAACCATTGAACAGTGTAACAATAACCCTAATGCATCAATAGATATTATTGGTCCTAATGGGATTATTAATAATAACAGTTGTTTAACTACTAATCCGGGTCATGATGAAAAACAAATTACCGAGGATATTAACAGTGATGAAAATGAGACCGTCAATAAAAGTGATGTTAGTGATAACAATAATAATAATAATAATAATAATAATAATAATAATACTAACAAGAGTGACACTGATGAGTTTACTAACCACAATACTCCTATTATTAGTGATAGTAATGAAAATAATGAGAAAGAAGAACCAGTCCTTAATGATACTAAAAATCAATCTCCATATATTAAAATTTTATTTGTAGGCCAGTTATGTGGTAGTAATTCAGCATTGTCACCATCAACCCTATCCACGACTGGTACAATATCAGCAAGTACCATCACCCCTACTGCTGCCACAACAGCACTTCTACCATCAACATCTTTATGTGAAACATTTACAAAATCAAAACATAATTCATTACATCACTCACAAAAATTGCATAATTATCACTATTTGAGTTCAATTAAACATCAATGTTTATTTTGTGATTACACTAGTTCGGATTCTACTAAATTAGCTGAACATTATGTACAACATGGAATAAGACAGTTACAATTACCAAATACCATGCATAAATTTAAAAAATTACATAGAATTCAAGCAAAATCTGATAATAATAATAATATATCAACGAATCCTTTAACAGTTATGGACGAATTGACTAAAGTAAGTAATTTGAATAGTTATCAATATTTCTTGTTTGTCATTACTGTTAATATCATTGCCAATAGTAGAAGTAATAGTGATCAGTGGCTATAAACGTCTGATGAAATAACACAGCATTGATCATACTGAAACAGATTGGTTCACTCTTCATCCTCGTTAGAATCTTCGCTTTCGGTGTTCTTTCATATAGACCTTATCATTCTGTCGTTTTTTTATTGAATCATATTTTCAATATTTTTTTTCTCATTATTATGGATATTAAGATAACTTTTAGTCCTTTATCATTTTCCGGGTTGATTTTATCTCGTCTTGTTAACGTAACATAATAACTTAGGCTAATATACATTTATTCCTGACTCTATGCTGATTTTGAAATAATGACTAACTGAATGATTAGTTTTATTATATTGTAGAAAATTACATGGATTGTGTTGTTATCAGATATATATATGGTAAATGCACTATTTTGGAGTACAAATTTGGTTAAAGAATAAATTCGACCGTAATTATCATCCATTTTATCACTAAAGGAATTTTTAAAAAAATAAAGGTATACTTACTCCTCACATACACGACTCACTCAAACCCACTAGATCGAACACAACGCGAATATATGGTTTACCTAAAGTTCACAAGACAGATCTTCCTCTTCGCCCAGTTTTAGATATGTATAATTCGCCTTATCATAAAACTGCAAAGTGGCTAGTTCGAATTCTGTATCATGATATAGACAAATAACTACGTTTACCATATTTTAACAGTGAATTATTATTAAAAATATGATCTTGAAATGTAATTAAAATCATTCAAGTATTATTTATTATCATTATTATTTATTAAAATGATTTTATATAGTGGATAGTCAACAGTTTCACTAAAATCAACAATATTCACTGTGGACACAAAAGTTGAAAAGTAATATAATAAGTAAAATGATAACTGAAAACATTGGGTATGATGCATGATAAAGCCTATGATGTGGACTATACAGTGAAATTATAATGAATTGATATAAAATAGAGTTCTAGTACTTCCTGATCTTCACTGGATTGGTTATCATTTGAATGTTCTCTATGAGAGAAGCTTTAGTAAATTTTCTTAAACAATTTTCATCATAGACATCACTTACAGAATCATTAGAAACACAGGATGAAATGTTTCGTCTTAGCTTAAAATTAGTTATCAGTGCATATATACATAGACCATGAGAAGATTATAAATACTTAAAGTCGAGAAGTTTAAGAACTCAAAGAAAAATCTGTTTGGTACAGCATGACTTCCAATAACCTTTTAACTAATATCAGTCTGCAGTGAAAAATATCCTTACATTTTCATTTCTGTTATTATTATCATTATTGTTGGCGAACGCTTAAAAGAGAACGGCAAATACCTATCTTCTCCCTTTTACTCATCACTTCAACTCGATTACATATCTGTTTGATACTTGTAGATGATGATCATTTGAATTGTGTACACATATATGCACAATACGAGTTTGTTTTGCTTTTAATGGTCTTTGGAAATGATAAATAAGACTGAAATGCTTACGATTGATTACTATTAAATATTTTGGATCATATTCATATATTAATGTATGACTTTTCCATTCATTATGGCATATATATATATATATATATATATATATATATATATATATAATTTAATGGTTGAATTCATGAGTCCATTCAAGCTAGACCACCATGGAAAACCTGGAAACACTGGAAGGCCGTTTTGTCTTAGAATGGGACTCAGCAGACTCATGAATATCAACAAAACTCCTCTCTGATTATAATCATCATATGTTTACCAGTGACGGTCTCCAAGAGGTATTTCCAGGAGTTCTAGTGAGAAGTCGTGACCAGTGGAGTTCAACCAGGTCTGTTGTGAGATAGTAACTCATTGAAAACAATGATGGACGGTGGCGCAATTTTGTGGATTGGTTGAAGTTAGAAATTAACATCGTTGAATGCCAGCTCACTGGTCTGGAAGTTAAGTGTTCGCGAGTGCGACCGATAGGTCCTGAGTTGGGATCTCATGAGGCCGGGTTGTCGATGCGCACTGCTGAGGAGTCCCACGGTCGGACGAAACGGTCGTCCAGTGCTTCCAGGTTTTCCACTGTGATCATGAATTCAACTATCAAATTAATATAATTTCGTAAATTCCAACTCATCTAAAGATATTATAATATTCATTGAGAGATAATTTTATGATACGAGGTCAATACTCAATAATATTTGTTACGAATAAGCATTTTAAACTAGAATAAAAACATGTTCAGAATATTTCTCAATTAATTATGCTTTCTTACTTCTTAATGATTAATGGTTAAAGTCGGAAAATGATTATTATTATTTTCTAAAATCCACTAGTTACTGTATTCATAATCAAAACTAATTGATATAACTTTCTGTAATTTCATGTTATATTAAGGCTTTTTGTTATTGTTGATTGGTATAAGCATTCGAAAAGTTCCACTTGTAAATAATGACTATAATCGATCTAAGTAAACAATAGTCATATGTTTTCATTAATAAATAGATTCAATAAATTATGTTTGTAGTAGTCTTACTATTAATTAATGTGATATAATTTTGTAGTCTAAAGGAATGAATGATCATGTTGATATATCACATATTTAACTGGTGTGTAATAACCGGAATTAGTGGTTGAAAATATAAAGTGACATGGCTCAGAATCGATCAGGGTCCTTCGTGTACATCTCATTCTTCGCTCTCAAAATATACTATCACTTTCTAGTCTTCTTATTTTAATTACTATTGTATTGATTCAATTTTTCACTACTCATCTTATCAGTTTCATCTATGTGTGTTGATATGGCACAGCAGCATATATTAACGCACATATTTACTGAATCTATGTTAATTATAATTAATTAACTGAATAGTTATTTCATTCCTAGACCAAAACTTCTCATAATTTTTCGGTAATAGCTTCTTATACTCAACCTTGTGTATATGGCTATGACTATGAATCAGTGCACTCTTAAAGAATAAAGTCAGAAGGCAGAAGAACAATGTCAGGTGACACAGTCTAACAGTAGCCATTGGAAAGACTAGGTTCATATGTTATACTGTTCATTCTAGAATGTAATCATGAGGATTATACAGTTCAATAGCTAATAATTACAGCTATTACTAACACCAGTGTAATTCTCTGATTTATTCTTTACGTATATAAAGCAAACCTTCCTAACTAAAAGACGTTTTTCTGGTTTCCAATTTTAACTGTAATATAACTTTTCAGGAGAATTCTATCCATCTTTATTTATTTGTTGATTGAGTAACATTACCTTCTATTTCTTCAAAATGTTATCATTTCATTGTATGAGTTACAGTTATACTTTTTTATGTTGATCTCTCATATCAACATTTTTATGTGGATTATAAACTGTATTGTTAAGGTTCAATTCTTCTGTGTTTGGTAATTTAGTTAAATATGTCTTAAAATATTATTAAAGGGTTTATTTCTACTTCAGAAAAAGAATTAGTTCCAGGGTATATATTTTCAACATTAAATTCTGAGTATTCAATGTAAAAAGATCATCCAAGTGTTAGATTGTCGAGCAAATCACGAAATATGTTATACACTAAATAAAAAAATCCAAATATCACTTCATATTTTAAACATTTCACCAAATATCTATTCATTCTTTAATAAAGCTAATGCTGAGTATAAGAAACAACTCACCATATATTGCTTTTTTTATACCAAATATGAGGCTTCAAAGAAGTTTTGAATAGAATCTTCCGTCATTCAATACATTTTGAAACATTTCTTTTCAAAAAATCTATTATCAAACTAACTGGAAGAAGTAATGGTCTGAGTTAATTATTACTCCTGGTATAATCGTTTCTGTGTTATTTATTCCTACTTCGTATAATATTAAATCATTTAATTGTATAATCATGATACTTTAAAGTTAATTTAGTGATGAAACATGATTGACAATAATTAGTAAGTAGTGGTCCATTAAATAATGTTCTTTACTGAAGAGAGTATAACTTGTGACAAACTAAAGTCCTAATTCATTTTATACTAGCTGTTTGAATCTTCCTATTGATTTTTAAGACTGAAATTGATTAATCTCTTATTAGCATATGTGCATTGTGTGCGGATTGCCTCGATATTGCCTTAAATCACAAGCATTATAAGCAGAAATGGATGGACATCAACTCTGGAACGTAGGTACATCCAGCTAACGAGTCCCAAATAGGACATAACACGCGTCCTGGATTCAACTGTTAGCCACCATCTAACTCTGCTAATAAAACTAATGTCTTCTTTAAATACTCCTATATATCACATCAATCATCTACACCATACAGAAACATTATTAATACTACTCTATCATTAAAACTGAATGATTGGCATCTGTAGGTCAACTGTCGTAGATTCAATTATTTAATCACTAAACGCCTATCCCAATAACATACTTAATACAATTTTCAAAGTTCATAACTATTGTCAGTTGTTTATATGTATTTATTCATATGAAAATTATGTTACCAGTCACCATGTAGACTATATTCTTGTTATATTCCATAACGTAATGGGATAAAACTCTTTAGGACAGTGAATTAATTTTTAAATATTCAATGAAGGTTATAAAATTCAGCAAAATGTCATCATGCCATTTCATCAATTATTTACAATTGATATTTTATATCAAGTGATACTTTTTTCAGAAAAAAATTAATATACTAACAATATTTTCTATTTATTATCAGAATGGAGGTATGTGGAGTTTGTAGTAATTTTAATAGTTGAATTCATGAGTCGATTTAAGCTAGACCACCATTGAAAACCTGGAAGCACTGGAGGGATGTCTCGTCCTAGCATGGGGCTCGTCAGCAGTGTTCATCCATGATCCCGCCTCGTGGGATTCAAACCCAGGAGCTATCGGTCGCTCGCGCGAACGCTCAACTTCTAGACCACTGAGCTGGCATCCAACAGTGTTCATGTCTAGTAAATAGATGTGT